TAAGCCATCCCCCAGTCCAGTGCAAGTTTTAAAAATCCCTTTTACATGAAACTGTACATCTAGAAGGAATGCTTCTCTCTGTACTTTATATTTTGTATATTTTCGTACAGTGTCATGCATATTTCATTCTATTCTGTTTTCTTACACAACTTTGAAAATATAATGAAATCATGAGTCACTGTAATTTGGGGTGATGGGTAAATTCTTACTATAGTGGACATTTTCTAAGCACTTCACCTTTATATAAATAAAGTCTGAGTTTGAACGCTGGTATGTAATAAACTAAATAAATCATGGAGTACATGCAAGCAAACCCACTGAAAATAATCCATATAGCTGGGTCAGGTAGCAAATGTGTGTAATCCCAGCTATTCGGGGGGCTGAGGTGGGAAGATGTAAAGAGGTGCATCTGGGTAGTTTAAGAAGACCCTGCTTCAAAAAAATAAAGTGATCTGGCCTTTTTTTGGGAGGGGTAGTACTTGGATTTGTACTTGGATTTATTTATTCTGCGGTACTGGGGTTTGAACTCAGGGCCTACACTTTGAGGCAGTCCACCAGCCCTTTTAGTGATGGGTTTTTTTCAAGATAGGGTCTTGCAAACTGTCTGCCTGGGCTGGCTTTGAAATGTGAGCCTCCAGATTTCTGTCTCCTGAATAGCTAGGATTGCAGGTATGAGCCACTGGCACCTGGCTTGTACTTGGATTTGAACTCAGAATCTTGAACTTGCTAGGTAGGTGGCTGTAACACCTGAACCAGCTCTGAAAGTGTCTTAATGAAATCCTTTTTTGTACCATCAATAATCCTAGCTATTCCAGAGGCAGAAATCAGGAGGATCATGGCTCAAAGCAAATAGTTCTCAAGACTATCTCAAAAAAAAACTCAACACAAAAATAGGCTAGTGGAGTGGCTCAAGGTGTAGGCTCCCTCTCCCCCAGTCCCCCCCCCCCAAAAAAAGAAAGAAAAACTGAGTGTGGTGGCATGCACCTGTCACAACCTAGCATATCAACTATTCAGGAAGCAAGTACATAGACGATCATGGTCTAGGCAAATGCCAGACCCTATATGAAAAATAATGAAAGCAGGGCTGGAGTGCTGTTCAAAGAGTAGAGTGAAGCCCTGAGTTCAAACTCCACAGGTCCCAAAAAAAATAACTGGTACTTAATCTAAGTGCTTTCAAATTCAGTAGTAAAGCTAACTTCTGGTCTACTTTTTCCATAACAAGACATGCAATAAGGAAGTAATTCAAAACATGCTCACCAGGCTTCACTAACCACCAGAACAAACTAGAGATGAGGCTTTGATGGTTTAAAAAGGACAGCTTTCAAGGAGTGAAAGAAGCAGCATCCCTGGTATTGATGTATTCAGAGTAAACCAAAAGTGAGCATGAAAACCTTACCCTCTTTGAAAGACAGAATGCTTTAACAAGAAAAAAAACCGGAGAGTGCCTGCTTTGCAAACACAAAGCCCCAAATTCAATTGTCAGTTCCACCCTGGAAAAAAAAAAAAATTAACCCACACCTTGACTGAGGTAGTAGAGCATCTGCCTTGGAACTTGAGGCCCCAAATTCAAACCCCAGTACTGCCAAAAATAAATAAAACAACAAAAAAAAAATACTTTACCCCCACTTCCCATAGAGCTAATCTTGAGAGGGTGAAGGGATGAAGATGAGAGACAAAAACGGTACTACCATACAAGCCCAAACATAGTATATGCTGACATTTATGCTAACCAAAAACATTGGAAAAAATTCATTTTTCCCTTTCTATAGTCCCTAGTTTTCTATACTAACATGACTCATATATATGAGAAGGTTAAGACTTAGTTCAAGAATACTAAGAGTTCATGGACTTGCTTAATATGGCTACAAATACATAAAAACTATTTCTTAGACCATCAACTTGTTAAATGAATGAGATGCTAGATCTCACTAAGGTTGAGTCCTAACCCAAAACTTCAGTTTTCTTATATTGGAACTCAAAAAACTGTCCTGTTCCTTAACACAGCGTGGCTCTTGCTCCAGTACCAGTAAATGATCTATATAAATTGATTTCAATGCTTGAAGGTAGTTAAATGAGGCAAAAGTTTAGGCACTAGTTTCCACATTAGTGGCTAATAAATAAAAATGCAGGGAAAAAAAAAAAAGACAAGTCTAAGGCAGTAACAAAGAAGACTAGTTCATTTGGAAGCCTACATTTATCTCAAGTACCCAAAATCCAAATCATTCCAATGTGCTGTCACTCCCCACACCTGAGAAATTTTATATGACTAATATTACAGAATCACTTTTTTGTCACCACAAAACTGAACTATTGTACTTAATAAAGGAGAGAACACAGAGGCTGATTTCTTCCCATTTGGTTCCCTTCTGCCCTCTTCCTCTGAACCCCATAGTCACTGGATACTCTTCCTCAACCTTGCAGATCCTATTCCCACCCCTCCCATTCAGATCCTGTAGAGGATACACACACTGGAACCATGCGGCTTTATCTACCTACAGTCTTATGTTGAATAACCAGAGTTTTGGTCAAAAATCCCCAGCACTCAAATCCCAAATATGATTATCACTAACCTGTCATTTATTTGGGCCCTACAACTGTAGGCTTTCAAACTGGTTGTAAAACTTAGTTCACTTTTTTTGAAGAGCATCCCCCACACGCCATTTTTGGTTATCATAGCAAGTCTACTCATAATCTATCCCCACAAAACAGAACACATTCAAACATAATTTCAGATCATCCCACGGGCACTAGATTAAGAGTGAATTTATCTGGAGAATGAGGAGAGGAAGACTTTCATTACAAGCACACTTACATTTGTTTGATTTTTAAACATACTGAAATTAAGACAAAGCCGACCTTGAGCTGTACTTCCCCATCTTATTCCCCTCCCCCTCTCAACTGGGTATTTGTTCAACACAAACAGCAATTTAAAAATCTGCAAAACGAAATTTAGCTCAGTATCCTTCTTAAATTTGAATTTCTACATGGGTACTGGTTGCTCACAGCTGTAATCCTGGCTACTTGGGAGGATGAGACTGGGAAGATCATGGTTCCAGGCCAGCCCTGGCGGGAGACCCTATCTCCAAAATAACCAGAGCAAAAAATGGACTAGGAGAGGCTAAAGCGGTAGAGTGCTAAGCCCTATTTCAAACCCCAGGCCCACCCACCCCCCAAAAAATATTTCTCAGGCCTTTTCTCTTACTTTTGAAATCCCTGAATGCTAACTTCGAATGATAGCCCTGAAGCTATTCACATGACCAAGGGGGCACCCAAGGGCCCTACATGTTTTGAAAAATTAAATGCCTGAAGTAAGAAAAATCTAAGGATCAACATCACTTGTATCCAACCAGAACTCATCCCACCCTACCCCAAAAAAGCATTAAAACCACAGGAACCACATGTGATGTTTCACTTTTTAAACAGTAAACGTTGGAGTGACAAATGTTTTAGGTCCAAAGTGGGGGAGTGGGAGTGGTTAAAAAAATAGACTGCCTATGACTGACTAGAAAGACACAGTGGACTAAACTCTGATGTAGCTCAGTGGTAGAGCATTTGTCTAGCATGCGACAGGCCCTGGGTTCATCCTAGCACCAAGGACCTGGATTCATCCCTAGCACCAAAAAAAAAAAAAAGAGGACCATTAAAATTTGCACATAAAGCCAGGCGTGGTGGCTTCTGTACCTAGCTACGTGGGAGGCTGAGATCGGGAGGATGGCAGTTCGAGGCCAGCCAAAATATCCAGAGGAAAATGGACTGGAGGTGTGGCTCAAGCAGTAGAGCGCCAGCTTTGTGGGGGTGGAGCCCCAGTTCAAATCCCAGTTACCACACACACACACACAAAACTGTATGTAAAACCGTTTACTTAAAATGGAAAAAAAGAAATAGTATGTAAAACAGAATCCCAAAGTCCTATGCCTGATTCGAGTATCTTCAATAGGTTAAGATCCCCAAATGAAGTAAGGACGCGCATTCCAAGCCTGGGTAGTCAGCCAAAGTACACTTACTAAAAAAAGTACAGTTACAGTTATTTGAAATAATTTTATTCTCCGACAGGTCTTTCCATATGTCATAATGGTGCGGAAAAAAAGGAAAAGTCCTCATTTTTACAAAAGGGAAGACTAAGGCACAAAAGTCGTGGTTTCCGTGTCTCCAGTTCTAGATTCTAGCCACCAGAAGCCAGAGAAAGACTGCAGGAACTTCGGGCTCTCCAGATAAGTCCGAGAACAGGGAGTGTGAGTGGGGTTTTCCTGCACCTGCCCACAAGAAGGCGAGGATGAAAAGCCCCCAAACCTTGACGCCCAGGTGCGCCAGCCCACGCGAAGAAATCCGATCGCAGCATCTCAGCGTGCCTCCACCCGAGGAGGATCCGCAGTGATTTCCACTCTCCTCCCCTCCCCCCATTTCATCCCACCCTGCCCCCCACAAGCCCGCAGACGCCCGCCGCTCGGAAGGGTTCTCCTTTGTGAGACTCCACAGCCGCCGCCCCATACCCGGCCTCCGGGGAAAAGCCACCGCCCCCACCCGCCATGTTTCCCTGAAAGGCGCCCGCGCTACAGCTCCCGGTCCCCTCGCCCTCCCATGTGGCCGGTGTCTCTTCCTCCATCACCCCACCCAATTCGTCTCAACATCCCAAGACTATCCCAAAGTTCCCCGGGGAAATCTGCTCGCCTAGAGACTACACCCGCCATCTCCTCCCCCTCCCCCGCCCAGGGACTCGCCCTCCCCCCCCCAGCCGCCATTTTACAACCAACTCCTCCACGCTTATGGCCTCGGCCTCCCGGCTCACGGTTGTCTGCAGCTAAGGACACCGAAAGGGTCAAACTGCTGGACCTGAAGACTCCCATTGCTCCAGGAGCCCACACGCCTTTTCCTACTTCCCGAATCCACATCCCCGGGCCAGGCTCGGCGACGATGCCGCCATTTTGTCTCCCGTTCCCGGTCTCTGTGGGCGGCGGCAGAGGGTCCGAGAATTCCAGCCCCCCATTGCCCCCCCAACTCACCGTCGTATCGCTCAGCCTGTTCGGCCAGCTTCGCCTGGTACACCAGATCCTCCCGATCATCCATAGCGGCAGCGGCTCCGGCAGGGTCTGCGCGACGGATGGAAGCGGATAGCGTCTCCGACTCTTTCAGCCTCTCGCTCCGCGTCCGGGCAGCAAAAATGGCGGCGCCTCAATCCGGGACTTCCGCCTGCGCACGCGGACAACTGCTCAGCTCTATGGCAACCGCTCCCTGGCAACTGGCGCGGGAGGCGGGTCCTGGAGCTCCGCTCCTGAAGAGGCTGTAACCTGGGAGACTCCGCTCCTCGGTCCGCTCAGCCGGCGCCGTAGCGCCGAGGCGGGAACTGCGACTGCGCACAGGGAGAGCGGTCCGGAGGGAAGGGGACTGCGCACAAGGTCGGCCTGGGTTGTCCCGTGAGAGGACGAACCCGACAGCCAGGCCATGACCAGGAGCCCATGACTGACCTGGGGGAAGAGAAAGCGAGAGGCTATGATGGTTTTTTGTAATGGCGGGCCTTCCGCGCTGAAATCAACGTGTTCTGCCCTACCTTGCCCATTTTCTTATCCAAGCCCAATCCTGGGCCTTTCTCAGACCCCTTTAGCCCGGAACTAAAGAATTTTTAGACCCCTATAAACGAAATAAAGAATTGGGACCTGCTGTAGTTGGAAGGGAACGAGGAGCCTCCAGTTTTCCCACCTCAACTTTTCTCTAACACTGTAATCTTTAGCTTTTCCACTTTTAAGCCCATCATGGATAGGAGCAAGGAATTTGTTAAAAGGAGACGGAGATCAGGAGGATGGTGGTTCAAAGCCAGCCCAGGAAAAATGTTCACGAGACCCTGTCTTGAAAACACCCATCACAAAAAAGGGCTGGCAGAGTGGTGCAAGCTGTAAGAGCGCCTGCCTAACAAGCCTTAGGCCCTGAGTTCAAACCCCACTGTCGCCAAAAAAAAAAAAAAAGTTTATGACTGAGCGTATGGCTGAAGTAGTAGAGTGCCCTCATAAAACAAGGCGCTGAGTTCAAACCCCAGGACCAGAGAAAAAGAAGCTACCTGGTCTACAGTAAATGGTTGTAGAAAAGTTAGACCAATATCAAGTTGAGATTGAGGAGGTAATAACTGCCTGGGGCTAGGGGTGTGACTCAAATAGTAGAGTGGATACCTAGTGAATATGAGGCCCAGAGTTCAAATCCCCATAGCACACACACAAAAAAAGATTTAACTCTTAATGGGGATTGCTTCACAATGGATTCTCTGCACCTTGTAGTCCATAAATACATGTTGCTAAATCCAGCAGTAGATATGGAATTAAAAAGGTTGAAACCAAATTATGAAAGGCCTTAGATGGCAGGCTAAAATTTTTCATCTTATTCTGTGAGCAGAAGGGAGTTTTGTTTTGTTTTGATTATGGAGCTAATTCAGGACCTCTAACATGCTCAGTATATACTCCACCACTGAGCCTCCCCTCCAAACAGGTAAGCTGTTTTTGAAAGCAAAATGTTTGTTTGCTTGTTCGTTTGAGGGTTTTCTTTGTTGTGTTTTTTGGGGTTTTTTTTTCGGGGGGCTGTTTGGCAGAACTGGGATTAGCACTCGGGGCTGCACACTTGCTAGGCAAGTGCTCTACCACTTGAGTCACTCCTCCAGCCCCACTTGTTATTGTTTTGGGGGTTTTGTTTGTTTGTTTATTTTCTCAGTGTTTTTTAACTCAGTGTCTACTCCTTGAGCCACTCCACCAACTCTTTTTTGTGATGAGATTTTTCAGTTAGGGTCTTTGGAACCCTTTGCCTAGGCTGGTTTTGAACCACCATCCTCCTGATCTCTGCCTCCTGAGTGGCTAGGATTAAAAGCATGAGCCACTGGCACCCAGCTTTTTTTTATTTTATTTTTATATTCTGTTTTATTTTGCTGTACTGGGGTTTGAACTCAGGGCTTCACACATCCCAGGCAAATGTTGTATAACTTGAGCCACACCCCCGGCAGGTAAACCATTTTTGGATGATTTTGCATGGAAAATGGTGGTTATACTTTTAAAAGACTAGTAAGTATTGCATAGCAATGACTAAACAAGAGGGTACCCAGGCATCTCTATCCTGGCTACTCAGGAGGCAAAGATCAGGTGGCGGATCATGGTTTCAACAAATAATTGGTGAGACCCTATCTCAAAAATACTCAACACAAAAAAAGGTTGGCAGATGTCTCAAGTAATAGAGCACTTGCCTAGCAAGTATGAGGCCCTGAGTTCAAACCCCAGTATCACCACAAAATAATAAAGACCAAAAAGAAAAAAAAATTGCTTTTTTTTTTTCTTTTCTGGATGCTTCACATCAGTAATCCTAGCTACTTGGGAGGCTGAGGATCAAGGTTCAAGGCCAGCCAAAGCAAATAATTCTCTAAAATAACTAGAGCAACATGGGCTGGAGGTGTGGCTGAAACAGTAAAAAAGCCCTGAGTTCAAACTGCACTCCCACAAAAAAAAAGGGGGGGGTCACTGCTGTGGAAGCAGCTAAGCAGCTAACACATAGGCAGAGGTAAAAAAGAACCACACAAGACATATCAGGGAATAGCTACTCTTAAGAGGTAAATAAAGCAGAAGAGGCAGAAACAGAGACTTGAATGGCTTTCCATTGCATTCCAAATTAAGTCCCTCCACAGCATTGCCATAATTTATTAGGTCTCAGTTGTAAAAGACTAAAAGTCAACACCCTGCAATCTAGTTTTATCTTTATAACTAAACGTTGTTCAGAAAGTTATTCACCTCCAGAGCTTCATGTTCAAATGTAAAGAAAACAGAGACCATGTTAGGCCACAGAACAAGTTGTAATAGTGTTAAAAATTAAAGTAGGCTGGTGCCAGTGGCTCACACCTGTAATCCTAGCTATTCAGGAGGCAGAGATCAGGAGGATCACAGTTCAAAGCCAGTTCTAGGCAAAATAGTTCACGAGACCCTATCTCGAAAAAAACCCATCACAAAAAAGGGCTACTGGAGTGGTTCAGGGTGTAGGTCCTGAGTTCAAACCCCAGTACCACAAAAAAAAAAAAGAAGAAGAAAGGGAGGCCAGGTATGGTGGCTCACACCTGTAATCCCAGTACTGGGATTAAATGGGAGGATGGAGAGTGTGAGGCCAAACTAGACTACATAACAAGTTTGAAGCCAGCAAACTCTGTAGTAGGAATCTTGCCTGATGAGTAAGTCCCTGAGTTCAGTCCCCAGCCCTGAAAAAAAACCTACTTTTGCATTTTAAAGAACTAAATAAAGAAACCAAGCATGATGTCTATAATCCCACTGCTCAAGAGGCTGAGGTCAGAGACATTCCAGTCCCAGGCCAGCCTGGGCTACATAGACACTGTCTCAAAAAAGAAAAAAAATCTAGGAAAAGAAGAGTGAACTGTACCCAAAGGCAGCAGAAAGAAGCAAGGATGAGAAACAAAGGACACAACGATAAAAAATTGAAAACAGAAAAATCAACAGAATTAAAAGTTGAGCTAGGTAGTTTACAAACTATATTCTCAGCTACTCCAGAGGCAGAGATCAGAGGATCTTAGTTTGAGGTTTGAGGCCAGTCAGAGCAAAAAGTTAGTGAAATTCCACTTCAACAAAAAAGCCTGGCATTGCCAGGCGCTGTAATCCTAGCTACTCAGGAGGCAGAGATCAAGAGGATCATGGTTCGAGGCCAGCCCCAGGGAAATAGTTTGGTGGAATGGCTCAGTACCACACACAAAAAAGTTGATTCTTTAAGAGACCATATAGCTTTAGCAGTATAGCATTTGCATGAGTTCATTCCCCAGCACCACAAACAAAAGTTGATTTTTTTAAAAGATAAACAAAATTGAAAAATCTTTAGCTAAATTGACTAAGGAAAAAAGGTTCAAATTAATGAAATCAGAAAGGGACATTAACAGACTGTACAAAAAAAGAATTGTAAGAAAATACTTGGAGATTTTCTCCAAGAGAAGTAGAAGCAACAGGAGGTGTGTGTGCATGTGTGTATATACATATATATGGATATACAAACACATATACATATATATACATGTACATGTATCTATGTGTCTGTCTGCATATACTCAGAGATAGATATGTACAGAGGGAAAGAATTTTTTTTTTTTTGTGGTGTTGGGGCTTGATCTCAGGGCCTACACCTTGAGCCACTCCATCAGCCCTTTTTTGTAATGGGTTTTTTTTCAAGATAGTGAGTGTCTTGTGAACTGTTTGCCCAGGGCTGTGAGCCTCTGGCTCCTGGCAAGAAAGAGAATTTTATTACGGAAATTGGCTCATGCAATTCTATGCAATTATGAACAAGAAAAAGTCCCATCTGCAAACGTGAGACTCAGGAAAGCTCTAAGTCTGAAGGCCTTAGAACAATGAATTCTCATGTCCAAGGGCAGAAGATGACTTCCCTGACAGAGGAGAGAGACAACACTCCTCCTTCACCTTTTCCTTGGCTTCAGGAATTGGGTGGTGCCCACCTAGAGTGGTGAGGGTGAATCTCCTTTACTCAGTCCACTGGTTCACATTCTAATCTCTTCTAGAAACACCCTCACAGAAACATCAGAAATAACATTTCACAAGCTGTCTGGATAATCCCTTAACCTCTTCAAGTTGACACCTATTTTTATACCATCACGGGGCTGGGTATGGAGCTCACTCATACCCGAGCATTTGCCTGGCACATTTGAGGCCCTGGGCTGGATCCCTGACACTGGAAAAAAAAAAAAAAAGCCATTACAAATAGTATGCAAATAAACAGATTCCTAGAAACACACAAACTATCAAAATTGACTCAAGAAATGGAAAAGCTGAATAGACATATAACAAAGAAATTAAATCAGTAATCCAAAACTTCCCAACAAAAGAACAATGTGAATGTTTTGTTTTGGTATTTTTGCAATACTTTCAATTAAACCCAGGGCCTCCAGTTTGCTAGGCAAGTGCTCTGCCACTTGAACTATGCCCCCAGCCCTTCTGGTTTTTTGTTTTGTTTCTTTTTGAGATAGGGTTTCAATAACTTTGCCCTACCTCATCTGGAACTCTTATCCTCCTGCCTCTACCTCCTAAGCATCTGGGATTACAGGTATGTCCTACCATGCCCAGCTAAAGCTAAAGTGTGAATGTATTTAATGCCATTGAACTGTACTCTAGAAAATAGTTAAAATGATAGTTTGGGGAGGGCAGTACTGAGGTTTTAACTCAGGCCCTCATGCTT